GCAAAGTTTCAGGTCGAAATTCGAAAATATGATTTTGCTGTAGAACTAGGGTCCAGCAGGAAAAATCCACTAAAACTTCGATATCTCTGTCAAATCTCAATATGGGCACGAATCCTTTGGAGGTTTCTCTAATCTAGTGGTCCCCTACCTAATGGGCAACATATGAGCTCAAAAGCTTTTAATCACTTGGGAACGTTCCCTCGTTAGGCGAAAATGCTAATTGACTCAAATAATTGACATAGATACAAAAGAAAAGAATAGTAGTTTGAAAGACATAATCAAGTCTATTTATTTGTTGTATATAGAAATGTTAGTTACGAATATATATTATCAAACGATGTAGGTGTATACTATAATTTAATTATTCTTTGATAGGTTCAACACATTTTTTATCGCTGTTAATTTACAACATTATACAAATCCTTTGATATGATAAGTTTAATAATAAAAAGATATTTTAGTTTTTAACGATATACATATATTAGAAAAATAAAGCATAATTTGTAATAATCTCGAGATTAGTGAGTGAGTTCTGCCTATTATTTCTTTTGCATCTGTTTAACTTATTCCTTTCAAATAAAATTTTTTTTAATGAAAAGATTTGTTATCCTTTTATTATAAAGTTGTTCGATTAATAATCAGGTTTTGGTCGTCTAATTTCGATAGATACACTCAGGATATGAAATTTTAATCTTTCAAGCATGAATTATATTTTTATCGTTTAAAATTCACTTCCTGTTTTTAACGGATAAATGATCTTTGAATATGTGTGAATAGATTAAATATAGAGAAAGTGGCTAAGATGGAAAATAGAAATATAAATAGCTTGCCCAAAAACGAACATTAGATTAAAAGTTTTCTTATTTGATTTCGACTTTGGTATAATAAACTTGTATTCATGCAAAAAAAAATTGCTATGAAAAATTAATTTGAAATCGATAACAATAAAAAAAATAATCAAAACTATCGAAGTTTCATCGATTATTCTGATTAATTTTGTTTAAAATCGCTTATAAGGATGGATGTAGGGTGTGGGTTTGGATGAAGTGTTGTATTCTCTTCATTTAAATCCACACCCACACTCTCATGTCAACTATTGTTACATATGCCTTCAAGGCATGAACCACATCTAGTTCTTCGCCAACAAGAGACAGTTTTAGATCATTTATATCGTTTTGAATCTGATTTATCACTCACATCGATAAACTTCAATGTCTAGCAGCGAAATTGACGATTTGTAGCATGGATTCTTCTCGTACACAATAAGATTGCAGCACTTCCGCATCGTCATCGAGAACATCTTCGTTGAAAGCAAAGAACACTTCTTTGCATATCTTCTTCATAAGATATCTTTGTACCAAGAAGTTGATTCAGTTATTCGATGATGATAAAAGGCTGGACCTCAAGCTCATGAGTTCATCCCAATCCAGTAATCGTTTGAATGTATGTTTTTATTTCTCGTTTAATACAACATTTTAGTCACTATCTTAGTATTGATTCACTCAAAATTACAGAAAATTCGTTTTGAACGAATTCATCAATTACACTGAATGAAGCTGTTATGATCGAAAATCAACTTACTTTTATTAACTCAGATTGTATGAACAATTTTTTTTTTGTTCATTCGTGCAATGTTACAAAGACAAATATTAATCTAAAATCAGAATAATGTAAAACACAGTCGTTACTACATTTTTTTATCTGCGTGAGAGTTCTTTCAGAGAGTATCATTTAGAAAAAAAACTCGTAAGAGATTTTTATTTACTTAAATGTATATATAAACTATGTAGAACACGTTTTATTCTCTGCATCGTCAAAAAACGTCCATAATCGTCGAGGATTAACTGATTCTTGACTTTTGATAATAATTGGAGAAAAGTTTTATCTTATCTGATTCAGCTAAATAAAACCGGGTTCAGAATTAGACTCTATTAGAACCGAAAAACCTGAATCCGAATCTTATTGGATGAGTGTGCGTGATATTAGGAACTACATCAAGATCTCACACTCACATGCACATTGAGAATCGAATCAGAGTCGACTTTTTAAATACAGTATGTAAAAGGGATAAATGTAATTGAAAAAAATCAAAATAATTATACTTTGATGAGTCTATTCAAAGATTCTAGTGAGTCATCGATATTAACATAATTAACTTTTTTTTTGTGTTTATATTTTAAAAAACGGATAAGAGTCACAAACGACTTTTTCCCCATTAAAATAAAGAAAAAGTCATTTGAATGTAACTTGAAATTCGATGTTCTGTGGGACATCACGTAATTCATTCTGTATTTCCATTATCTTCTGTGGCACTTGTTCGTCTGATAGAATACATCCGAGCACTTGTAGCGTTACTTTCTTCAATAGATGGCAATCATTTATCAACCTTCTCCATTCATTTAAATCTAATAATTTCTCGACATTGTTACTATTAGTTAACAGTCGAACATATCGAATATTGTACATATATTTGATAAAATCAATTATTGTCATCAGAAAACATGAAGGGTGATGTTGTAAACAATCGTTCATTGAAGGTAACGGAAATTCACTCATATCAAGAAGAAAATATTGAATTGTAAATTGCTTCAGCTTTGTCTCATTGAAACCATGTATACCGGTATGATGGCAAAGTGCTCCTGCACAATGAACTTCTAATATTTTAATTGAACTTTGAAGGTTTTCGAAGATAGTACTCAAAAAACTAAAACTAACTTCATTATCATACCAGAGAGAAAGTCGGATCAATCTTGGAAAACATTTTGCAGAATTATTGATGACCTTTAGTTGTTGATAGTTGATAAGAGTCAATGAGATGACATTGGTAAAAATGCTCAATGAGTTTAATTCTGACCGTGTCTGATACCAAGATGTATTAAGACGTAAGGAAACAATTTGTTCAGACTTGAGTTTTCGAAGAATCACGTTAATAAATACATCAGAAGGGTCACAAATCTCTACTCTTGTTTCATATCGACATAGTAAAGGAAGAATATTAGTGGAAAATACATTGATTGCATCGTTTAATGTGAGATATTTGATTATTTTAAGAAAGATAATCGTCAAAGCATCATTCTTGGTAAAGAAGTCGAATGGTTGAAGCTAAATGAAGAAGAAATACATATATGAGTTTGTGGTGATTGTTTCAATCTCTAAGAATGGCTCTTTTTTATGTTTATTAAAACTGATCAGTTATTTAAAACAACAACTCACTAAATCTTCTTCATTCTTATCACATTCTTCTTTAAAAACGGCTAATTCCTTGAGTACAAGTTCTTCACTAGATTTCTGTTTGGTTCGTATCAAAGTATCACCTTTGAGCAATAATTTGAATTGATATTCCGATATGAACGAACTATTCTTTTTCTCTACAAAAAGTCGCATGATTCCAATCAGCATTGGACATTGATCCATCGTAAAATCCTTCAGAATTAGTTCAGTGGAGAACATTTTTTTCCAAATTTTCTCCAATCTAATAAAAAAATAAATAAATAATTACTTGACTAACAGATATTTAACATAATGTCGTTTCAAATTATCTCATTTCTTTACGAGAAATAATTATGATTCAAGAAAAAAATACGTTTTCTATTGAACGAATATTTTAGATTTTGATAAACACATTTTAATATTGACTTTGTATATTATGATATTATAAATTACTTACGTGTTTCTATTCGATTCTAAAGTAACATCCCATGGCCACACAATATAATTGTCAAGTAAATAATCGATAATACTTGCCGAACACAATATACTTTTACAGAATATGTTACTAAACACGCTTTTATCATTATGTATATAGACAAGTACTGGACGACGCTGAATTAAAATACATTTGTATATTTTATAAAATCATAAGAAAAGATCTAAACGAACTTCTTTAATCACTGCCAAATCAAATGCTGCCTTACATGCACTTTGAAGAGAACCCACGAAAAATACTGGACAAGCATTATAACGTCGTTCGAAATATTTGTGAAAAGATTCAATGCCAAGAACTTCGTTTTGATATTCTTTGGGAACTGTTAAACGATATATCAATTTTAAAAAAATCATCTCGTGTTTGTTATAACTGAAGGACAACTTACAAGGAGTAGGAGGTGTGACAAAATCTTCATCGTCAAGCATGTCATTGTCAGCTGCTTCTGGGTTATTATTCGACATACAGAAATGAATAGAATTGTTTCTAAAGACTTCAATCTAAAACTAGTCTATTAATACAGATCTGACAATTTCATATTTCTTGAAAGTTTTGTAGTTGCAAAATTAAAAGAAATAAGAAATGCTTATTTTATGTAAAATTAAAAAACAAGCGTACCATTATGACTAGTATTTTTTATCAATAGAAGAAATGAAGAAAAAAAATCAAACGCTCAAATGTTTGGTACTGATTTGAAGAAAAAGAAAATGATGCTGTCGGTTCTTTTTTTTTATTGATTTTATATCGAGAAATATATTAGTAAAAAAAACCATTTTTATTCTTCGAACAACATAAAATACATTATGCATTTAGTTGAAAACATTTTTGTATTTAACGACAGCGACTGAGAAAGAGAAGCCAAAACCTACATGCTCCGTTTTTATTGCTTCTCAAAATTATAGGAAAAAAGTACATTTTTTAAGCACTTCTGTTTCTGTGCATTGCAAGAAAGAAAAAAAACTTGTATAAGAAAAACAAATAGACAAAGTGTCCTGGGTGTGGGTGGGTGTGGATACCCTGATCTATTTACCCACCCGATCCTACACAAGCATCCACACCCACATCCACACCCGAAGAACACAACCATCACGTCTACCAATTATTACAACCTAAAGACAAGTAACGCGACGCAAACGTCGCTAACCCTCTACTGAAAGGAACTGCGACGTGGTGCATCCCGTATGTGAACAACTAGCTGCAGGCCTACTATTCTCACATATACTTAAGGAAACAAATATTAAAGGAGTAGTCGATAGACATGTGTATGTATGATAAAGTTTCTAAAAAGACTCAAGAATGTGAACCAATCAGTTTGAAAACATTATCGAAAATTGATGAGTATCTACTCGCGTTTAAAACTAGTTTTTCAGAAGAATGCCTTAGAAAACAGGTAACGCTCATCTGTGTGACTCGCTTAATCCTCGACTGAATAATTCACTTGTTCGTTAGTTTTTGTTGCTAGACCAGCTTTTCAATAGATAGCCGCTGATATCTGCAAATGACTATGTTTTAGTGCAAAAGTTAATAAAAGCATACCCATCGTCATGTCCACAATCGTTTATTTTCTTATGATACTATTTGGCATCCTATTCATTCATTTTAACTAACAGTTTAAGAATATCTACCTGAAATTTTTTTACAGATAAACACATCCATAAATGTATTAACCTGTGTTTGAACTGGTAGTACAATGATNACACCCCCCCCCACACCCACCCCCCACACCCCACACCCCACCCACACTCACACCCACACCCACACCCACCCCCACCCACCCCCCACACCCCACACCCCACCCACACCCACACCCACACCCACACCCACACCCACACCCCACACCCCACACCCACACCCACACCCACACCCAAGATATTGACGATTAAGGAAAAGTCATGACGTTGTTCGAATGATAATCTGAGATTGGAGCGAAATTTGAGTGGAATTTGTTTACAAGAGAACAAGCATTTTTTATATCAATTTCAAAAGAACTATGGCAGAGTTTGCTTGAGTTCGAAGCAAGAACATGTATCAGTTTAAAGTAAACGATTGTCTTTGATTTCTCCGTCGAGTTTATGATTAAGATGGAATTTCTTGTAATACTCAATCGTTCCTTTTTCGTTAAAGGTTCAACATGGTGATTCGACGACAAACAATTCTTTGATTTAGTTCTTCGAGTATTTGATACCAATGTCGGACAGCCGAAAAAAGAACGACGAATATTTCTTTTCTGTTGCTTTTTGAAAAGAAACCGATGCGAATTTTTCTTCGAAATTCAACTTGATGTAGATAAATCATATCGAGCATGTATGTATTTCTACGAGTTTCGGTACAAGACCTGTTTCTCGTAACATTTAAACATTGATATTGCAGCACAAATATTTACTGATGCCCGTGATATTACACATTGAAGATTCTGAAGTAAACATAGAAACTCGATGGGACTTTCTTGCAAAACAAATGCCAGATGATATTGTGTACACTGTACTTACTTCATATCTCTTCAATTGAAAGTCAAACTATAGAAATTCAGCAAGCCAACTAAAAAAAGCTTGTTAGCGCAGCCCCTTTGGGGCTGAAATGTGGAACTCACATATGTTCTCTACCCTCATTAAACTAATACACAAATACGTAAAGTGAAAAATCTCTTATAAACTATGGTTGTTTTGTAGGATCATCAAACATCTGAGTAAGAATCTTTCTAATTTCTGCATTTCGAACAGAAATTTTATATTTTTTCTACGAGCACCCTATTTTTTGTTTGCATTGTTGCTATTCGCTCATTAGTTGTCATTCTTTTTAATTCTTTTTTCTTAATTTAACATTCTTCTTATCCTAATCATTGAATTAATTGGCAAATAAGTCTGTTTTACATATCCATGATATCTACCGCGGATCTTATGCACTATTATATATATTAATCAACTGACAAACAATGATGTTGATTATTTTTCAAAATAATACCTTGATCAATATTTCAAAAAACTCTAGAAAGTCTGACGCCTATTATTCTCAATTGCTAAAGTCTGTAATGGGGACCTGCGTTGCTAAGTGTCTGTAATGAAAGGCGTGGGGGATGGGAGGGAGGAGCCACGAAACCTTGACCTTAAAATTTACACTCACTATTTTCTTCGAAAATATATGTGAGTTCCACAAAATGGACATCTCTGTGAGTAGCTTTGGAAATAATGCTTTTAGTATACTCTTAGGCAATGGTGGCGGCACCATTCAGACTCAAACGATGTATATAAGAGGCAAACACTATTTTTGTGATATCGGAGGATATCAATAATGATGCACACTTATTGATCAAACTCTTGCCCTTACAACATATGTAAAAAGCAGTCAAGTCTGAAATCATCGATTGAGCAAGATAGGTCGCGCCTTACGTGGAATGGCTCAAAAAAGTTTAAAAAATTTCATCAATATTTAGCCAAGTGGAAAATAAACTGTATAGGTCTGATTTACAATTTCGTACAGAGGTAGTAATTGGAAAGTAGAGTTATCCAGGGCTGTTGCTTCGAATTGAATCGGTTCTTGGATCGTAGTGTGTATTTTTCGAATAAGATTTATATCTCGGGGTAATGATTTTGCTTTTTTAGTCAAACCACCAAGAACAATGGGTCCAAATAGAATAGATACCAATTGTGGATTATCATTGATCGGCTCAACATGCAGTCGCATAGCCATATTGTACATAATACGATCATTCGTTTTCCACTGACTAATAGGAAGTAGCACATAAGTCGACGGTATCAGTTCGATCTGTTGTCGTATATCATTGATCTCAATCCAGGACTCATTGGAGACAATCCAAGATGGTACACGGAGGTATATGTTCAATGTAACGACATCGATCGATGTAGCTAACGTAAGGGTTGTGATTGCTTCTCGAGGAAATGCGGTCGTCTGGCGAATTACTACATATTCTTGTACATACCAATCGAGTTCTGAGGCAACAAACATATTAACATAGATCGAAGTGACGCCGTTCTGTTTGTTGAAGAAATAGATTGAATCACTCATTTTCGTCCATTGATCGATAGCTGTAGTGTAACAGCACCAGAAACTATCAAACTGAGAACCAAAGCCGATTCCGCCGCCCACGGAAGTCGGTTTACTAACATTTTCTCCTAACGGATAACTGTACAACATATGACCAGGTTCACTTGGATCTTGTGTACCCCAAATACTGTTCACGAATACTCGTTCGTAGGCATTGGCATATTCTATGTGACCAGTCCATTCGATCAGAACTCGAATCACCTTCAACATATTGTATTGAACACAGAATTCTTGATTATTATTCCAAAGAGTTTGTGATAGAAGGTTGGCATCACTATAATGTTCCTGTTGGTAAAACCCAACCGAACCATTACCGCCATTCGATCCACCAGTCGAATAGGTATGATTGTTCCATACAATTGAGTAGAAATTTTCGAGTATTGCCCGATATTGTGGTTCACCAGTAACTGCATAGCGTCGACCACTGCCTAATACTGGAGGTACATGCGAATTGACATGTACACCAGTGAGAAAATCAGCGTTGAGCGAGAGTGCTCCAAGAAAATGTCCATCTTCGAATTGCTGAGCCATCCAGAAAAGGCGCCTATCACCGGTAAGTCCATATTGTTCATAAAGAAAGTCACTAATACCACCATATTCATAGTCTGTTGTACTAAATATCATCGTATGCCAATGAGAGATGGGATATGTCTTAATGCAATGATCTACCCAAGTGTACAAATATTCGAGCATGTCATGCATCATCTTACCGGCTAAAGTAAGACCCGTAAGAGTGCTCATGTCAGAGAGACCACGCAAGAGCTTTTCATAGCAATAGATCGGCGCCCAGACATTTTCCAAGCGTTCCAGTTTTCGCAAATGCTCCGATGGCCATGCAGCAAGAAAACCCGATTCATTCAGAATCTGTTGTACACGATACAACTCTTCGACAAGATAATAAGCTTTCGCCAATTGGCGTGTATTGTTATAAGCTAGATATGCTTTTGCTGATGCTTGAAGATAAAATGCCAGAAAAACGCCACGTATATCACTATTCGGTGATTCCCACCCACCCAGTGACTCGATACCTTCCACGCTCAAATTTGCATTTTGATAATAAGTATAAAGTAGACGATCGACCGGTAAAATGTCCAAATAGGCTTGATTCAAGACTTGTCCGTCAAGACTAGGCGAATGGAGTGATTCGATGAGATGTACTTGTTGAAGGAAGAATGGGTTGAGTTTGTTGTTGTTAGAAGAAATCGGACGAGCGTTAGTTAAGCACAAACTCACAATAACAAGAAACACTTTTATGTCACACATGGTTTAGGTGAAAGGAAAAAATGCACGCTGTCATTTTATCTCATCAACTGTTGACGTATACTGTTGATATCTTAGATGCGATTATGCTCAGACTGAATACGAGCAAAATGCGAGAGATTGCAAGCGACAGTTGCATGAAACACATGATGTTGTTTTAGACAGATTCATACTATTATTTATGCATATTTTCACGTATAAGACTGATATGTATTCGTAATTGAAGAATTATTGAATATTTGATCATTTTTCTTTACGTAGAAAAAAGAATTTCCAAAAATTTTATAGATATTTTCGCTGCTAACATGTGTCACTATTGAATCGATTATCTAACAAATACAATGTTTGATTTTGCGCACTAATTATATTTTTAATGTGTGCATGAGGATTAGTGGCGTAGCCACCGCCGTGGGGGCACCGGGTGTGGGTGTGGAAGGGTGTCGGTGTGGATATGAGTTTTATCTTTAACACCACCCACACTCCAAAAAGTTCTCAATTGTAAATGAAAGCTTCAACATTCTTCAATAAAGATCTTGTTATTTATCTAAAAAACTACTATGATTCAATTTAAAAATATAAATGAAAATTGTTTTTCCGATATATGAAATTTTTTCTTTTGATGTTCGCAAAAAAGTATAAAATCGATCATTCTGTTTGATGTACTGACTTGTCTATATGATTACTCTTCAGAATAGAGTTAAGGATTTATTGTTTCTTACGAACTATATGCATGTATGTGTTGTGGTCAAAATTAATATTCCTTTTTTTTAATGAAAGCCACAAGGTAAAATTTTGATAACAAAGCGTATGGATGTGGGTGAGGGTACTTGGTTTAGAACGATGTGTACATGGGTATCGAAGGAGCAAAGTTCTAGGGTAGTTATTTTCCTATTAAATAAAATAAATTTTAATCATCGGTAATTAAGTTTCAAATAAATTAAATTCTTTTCGCAATTCAAAAATAAATTTACATTATCAGCATTTATATTTAAAATAAATATAGCTTAAAATAATTTAGGTTTATTTCTAAATTTATTGTAAATGTAAATTATGAAACATAATATAACTCTATTTTAAATATAAATTACCGATAGTTTAATTTACGCATTAATTAAATTGAAAATATAACTTGACATCTCTACAAGGGTCTGTTGCACCCAGTCATATAATATTTCTAATAATTGTTTTTGAAATAAAAAAGTTAACATCACTTTAACGTTTTGTTTTTCTTGACCTTTCTCTTTTTATCAAAAAAAAAGAATTTTAATTTTAACCACAATAAATATACATAGTATATTGATTGATGATGATGGATTGGCATTGAAAGGAGTGCAAGAGATTATTGGCTATTTTTCTTTTTTTTCTTTTCGATTCCAAGGTGAAAAAATAAGAAAGACGAAACTTGAATAGATGAAATATTGTTATTAGTCATGTTCTTATGTCGCAGATCTTTATTTTTCACTATATTAGATGATAATGAGACTATCAATCATAAGATCGAATGATGGGAAAATTGAGTATAATCACTGTTAAGGATGTGGGTGTGGGTGGGGTGGTTTTGGATTCAGAAAAGGCCATAACTCACACCCACATCCANCAACATGATTTAAAACTGTATTCTGTGGATACTTTATTGATGAACAAAGCATTTCTATCAACATCAAAAGATCGAGCAGTTGCTGAAGCTTTTGGCGATTCATGTAACCTTCAAGATGGAAAATTTTCGGCTATCTGCTTGTATGAAATTCGTAAGCCTCGTTCAGCATTAGAAGGGTCTATTCAATTATTCTATAGTGGTTTTATCGACTGTAATTTAAAAATTCAAAACGACTACGTCATTTTTTTAATGCACTACATTGAAACAATATCTGAATATGAACATGAACGAGAAGTGTTGCTAAATCCTTATATTTTATTTCAAGTTAAGCGAGCTACAAGAAAAAATATAACTAACACGTACACTGTATTCGAATTTGAGTTGAGAGAGTGTGACTGAAAAACTTTACTAATAAGCTCGACAATTTATGTACAACTTACGAAGAAACGTTTCCAACTGTCCAATCATTTCTGAGTTCAAACTGGGTGTATGAGATAGATCCCAATGAGATATGAAAACCCCAAAAGGATAAATTCCTTTAGACCTTCTGTCCAGAAGTATAAGCATTTTACTGCAATTTAAGCCTATGGCATAGTAAATATCAACAAAATAAATGACAGTTTTTCGATCTAAGACCTTACCTACAGACAGGTCTATTTGGGAGTAAAATGCCCTGAAAATTTCATCTCAGAAGAATATTTTCTTTCCGAAATATTAAGACCTCAAAACACAGAAAATTCTAGCATCTGTTGTGGAATGTAAGTGAGTTTTTAGACTTTAATATTTCGAAAAGAAAATATTCTTTTGAGATTAAACTTTCAAGGCGTTCTACTGCCAAATAGACCTGTCTGTGGGCAAAATCTCAGATCAAAATGCCGCCATTGGATTTCTTGGTATATACCATACTAGAGGCTAAAATTTCAGTAAAATGTTTATAACTCTGAACAAAAGGTCTAAGGGCATTTATCCTTTGCAAGTTTTTCATATCTCATTAGAATCTATCTTATGCACTCAGTTCGAACTCAAAAAAAGATTGGATAGTTGAAAACGTTCCCGCCTAAGAACCAGTGTGTAAAGAAATGTATCATGTTCATTTTTATCTCTTCCTCTACATTGACCTTGTGACCGTTCTTTTCTCGTCTGATCACTACCTTCTCATATAATTGCTACCCTTGACTAATGCTCTTTCCATCTATCCTATATAAGCATGTACTCTGTGTGAATGATACGACTTGTTGTTTGAAGTCAAATAAAACGGTACCACTATCTCCTGGGTATTTCTCTTCCCAAGTTTGTCACACAGTGGCTATTATTTAGTTTATGAGACAAAGTGTTTGAGTATAATGCAGAGAATTAATTAACAGACCGAAACAAGTTCACTAGTAACTACGCAAACCATGAACT